TGCAGCAGGAGGGGAGGAGGAGTGGGCACAGGCAATGAGTGTTCCCAGGGATGCATGCACAGATAGCTGTCCCACTGGATGGCTTCCCGGACTGCTGCAGCGGCACAGCCCTCCCCCAACAGAGATGAGGCAAAGACCATCGTGTGTGACAAGCAACCCAAGTGACAGAGTGGCCTCTTGCTTCAGCATCCTGTTTCGTGTGACGCCTTTTGATGGCCAAGCTGACCAGAAAGGGAATAGTTTTTCCTCACTGATAAGATGTTCTTTTCTTCTTACATATGGACTTTTGTACCTCTGGCACATCAGAGTCAATGCAGAAATTAAACAGAAAACGACAGCTACCTCCGAGTATTTGCCACCACCTCATGACCATGTTTGGGTTTTTTTTGGTTGTTTTTTGTTTGTTTGTTTGGTTGGTTGGTTGTTTAGTTTGTTGTTTTTTGATGTTGTTGTTTTATTTTGTTTTGTTTTCTAGAGCAGGTCACCATTGTTTTACAGATGGGGGGAGAACAAGAGGCATGGAGGAGATGAGGCTGGATGAAGGTGACACGTAAGCTTGGTATAGGCTTAGGACCAGCTCTTTTGGTGTACAAACTTAAAAGCTATTCTCTTAGGAACTCTGAAGTCACCAGATATCTTTGTTCTTTGAAATCAACATAAAGATAGGATTGGGAAAGGCTTATGGAAGGAGACTTTCTCTTAGGTTATACTATCCATACATACTGGGAATCTATACTAGCAAGTAAAACAGGCTATAAGCCATTCTCCAACTCTGAAAACCAGTGATGTAGCAGCGGTCACATCCACATATACCAAAGTTTTATTCCACTCTCAGCAAAAGGTGAGAACAGGCCCTGTTGGACTAGCACATGCTATTCCCAAACAGTACTTGGACACTTTCTGGGAGAAAGTTAGAAGGCCACAAGCATGCCGAGGACCATGTTAACAATGAAGCACTTAAAAAAAAAAAAAAAAAAAAAAGCCACATGCCCTGACCCTTATTTATCTATGTCATTGTACCCTTAAAATCTAGAGCAATAAAGGTCCTTGATGCCTTTGTTTCACCCTAGCCCCATACTCTTCTCACTTGTTTTCTAGGTCAACCTTCTATCTTCTTGTATGGGCCAGAAATTCTGAGTGAGGACTCTCCTTGCTATTTATGTCTGGTACCTGATATATTAAGACCAGAGGTTACCAGAAGAAAGAGGCCAAGTTTAAGAAAGGATGAAACATGAGCTGTAAGCAAAATTATATCCAAAATTATAACATTGAAACCTCTTGTTCATTTGTTGCTCAACTTTACTAAGCTCTCCAGTACCCTTTCCACCTGAGTCGTATGTTCCCTGGCACCAAAATATGATATATGCCCTCAGAGCACCTCTTCTTGCCATTGCCAAACAGCTCCATTTTTACCTCATGTCAGTACCTAGAGCTGAGATATTCCCCTATTTTCGAGACAAAAGGCTTAAAACAGTCAGAAGGTGTGCTCTGAGCATGCTTAACATCCTTCTACTGGGGTAGGAAGCAAGTTGGCAGGGCTTGTGGAGACCAATGCTCCCAGATTGCTTGACTGTAGCTACACATGTTGGGACAGTGAGGCTGTTGAGGAGACAACATTACCATCTTCCTTTAAACTTTGCTCCATGCTCTCCCTCACACCCACCAAGAGTGTAGTGCCTTGTTCATCCCTGAGTTCTGCCTCTGGAGCTTAAGAACATTTTGGTAAACAACACAGAGAAGGATGCTTTAAGCACTGCCAGTACAAAATAATGCTCCAGGTTGAGTCAAGAATGTGTGACAGTCCTTTGCATTTGGTCTGCCAGCATTGCCAGCCCTCACAGAGGAGAAATCACATTCTGGGTGAAGTATTTGTGTTTTCTGTGAGCCTGACTCCTGGGGGCTGCATGTTGCCATCTGCTTGCAAAGAAAATTAATCGTCATTCCTGATAATCCCAATTAACCAACAGTAGAAACAGATGCTGAGGAATACAAAAAGAAACTTTGTATAACAGCTCAGAGGAGGGTTCACAATCATACAACAGCAGGAAGGAGCACATGCTCTTGCTCCTAAGAGGCACTCACAGTCTCACAGGACCTAAATATGGGCAACACTGTGCTGTTCTTCTAATTCTACTACTTTCACCATGTCTCTCTATTATTGCCAACAGGGGTTGGTAAGCATACACTGTAAATACCTTTCAGCTGTAGAGGTTGAAATTACAGAGATGTATTTTATTGTTGTGAAGTTTACTAAAGAAAAGCTTAATTGTGATCACTTCGCTTTTATTTTTGACTACTTCACTGCCATTTTCTTCATATTCTTGTATTATATAGTATAACTATGTTACACTATATATACAAACATTATATATTTTTCATATAAATACAATCATGAAAATATTTTATGTGTTTATACATATATATGTAAGCATATGTATTATAAAATTAAAGAGAACATTTGAATATTGTGAAGTTGGTTTCAGTGCCACTTATGCCAGGGAAGTAACAGTTTAACAGAGTCCACTACTAGCGTGAGTTATCTTATTGTGCATGGGCCACATCACCAGAGAAGTGTGAGAAAGCGCACTTGAGTTTATAATTTCATCTGATAAACTAAGCCCTGGAGCAAAGGATTCCCTCTCTGACTGATCTCTTGCCACAGGTTTAAGCCCATTTCCTGCTGGCCGCCAACTTGGCAGATTTCTCATAATTAACCAGTAATATCACATGCGTGTAGATGACGGTCTTTCCACAAAATGTCACTCCTGTGTATGCAAGATACCTATTGCTCCTAGATTTCTCCTCTTCAAACACAAACTCTTGAATACAGTCTTCTGCACAGAGCTCACAGTCCTGAAGGCTCACCTGTATAACACTCTCAGTTCACTGTGGGATGCCTCAAGGGGCCATCCAGCTTTCTTCTTCCACCCTACACTTTCCCACAGTCTGCCTTGCACTCTACCTTACCTGACTGAAAATAGATCCTGCAAAACACAAAAATCCAGATAACCAAGCATTTGTCTAATTTTATTTTTTTTTTCTGACAGAAACCTGCAGTTAGATCTAACAACAATATGAAATTGCATCTTTGTTCACTCCCAGTGCTGTAATTACAGAACAAAAATATGTGCAGTATTCTAAAGTTTGGTTATCTTTACTTTAACCGTGTCAGTATCGATACTCCAAACAGCTCACAATTCCACACCACAGAATGTTCAAGCAGAATAAACGGCATCCTTACACCTCCATTTCCTCTCTGCTTTCCAAATAATGGCCTGAGAGACCAAGGACATAGAAAAATGAAAAATTGCATAGTAAGGAAGAGGCAGAAATGGCCTCTGTGCTATTCCTTGTGCAATGTCAGTGAGTATGCAGTAGCAAGAGAAAGATAAGGACACAGTTTCTGCTGGTGGGAAGTTCCTAGCATCTCATTCACACTCGTGGAGGATGCTACAAGACAAGTAAGAGCTACATAGAGCGACGGAGACCAGGAGGGGGAGAACTTCACATGCACGAGGTAACGGTGAAATGGACTGGGATCACACTTAGAGCGTGGGACAGCTAAAGACAACCAGCTTCACAACTGCATAGGTGTGGAATAAAATTGCAACACAACTGATGAACTTACATGCAAAATTAGGTGGGTGGCCAACCACCTTATTTGCATTCCACGTTGATACGGTCACAACTATTTGCATAAGTTTGCGTATTTTCCAAATAAATATTTGGAGATGCAATCTTAGGCATGTCCTTGTCCAAACTGGGAAAGTTCAGGCTGAAAAAGCAACTGAAAGTGTGATATGGTAAGGGTTCGTTACTTCATCAGTAAAAAAAAAAAAAATTCCTAATGTCCAGCGGTGACTGTGTTATTTCTGCAGAACACGTGCTAGAGATGTTACATCCTGAAAAGGGCAGCATGGCAGAGGTATGTAATGGATGTGCGTTTGCTAGGAGACGTTTTGCGTTGAATTTATGTGTACATTTATGCTAAAAAAACATCAGTTCGGTGAGAATTCGGGAAAAAAGTGGCTCCGAAGCCAGAACCCCTCGTTTTCTCTTCAGGCGGCTGAAACCGTGGCCAGCCACGGGGTGGCAGCGCTGCCGCACGGCCCGGCCTGCCGGCTGGGAAGCCAAAGCTGGGTCAGCGGCGAAACCCGCCTGTAGGGAATGTCCTCCCCGCCGGTTTGGGGGGAAAATGAGGAAAAGTGGTGACGGGGGAACAACTCAGGCGCTGCGAGGCTCAAGTTAGGGTGGCAGGGGGAGCACACGTTCCACAAAGGCTGCAAAGTCGGGCTTGGTGCTGTCCCCTCTGTGCTCATTAAGGCTCGCTCCTGTATCCTAATTAACGCCGTTCTGTTACACGGAAGCCGACGCGGGCGGGCGCCGTGTCGGGACAGCGCCGACCCTCAGAGCCCCGCACCCAGCCTCCCTCACACAGACACGGACGCCTTCACAGCACCACACAACTTTATTTCGTTATTCACCCCCCCCGCACCACGGGACCTCGTAGCGCGCCCCCCCAAACCCCTCCCACCAGGGCTGCTATCGCGACAGCGCCGACAGGCGCCAAGGCGACGCCCCCTCTCCCCCCCCCCTCCCCAAAAAAGAGCGTAAAGCGGAAGTGCGGCGCAGCGCGGCCCCCTTCCTCCCCTCCCCTCCCGTCCCGCCACTTCCGGCGGCCGCTGTAGCCGGCGGCGCGTCTATGCCCGCGGCGCCGGGGGATGGTGCTGGCGGCGGGGGCTGGGCCCAGCAGCCGCACCGGGAGCGCCGCCGGGCGCCAGCGCCAGCGCCGGGTGTCCCAGCAACCGCGCCTCCGCCGCGCCGCCCGCACGCCGCAAGCACGGTAACGGCCGCGCCGCCACAGCACCCCCCGCCCCGCCCCGCCGCTGGGGGGGGGGGGGGCTGCGGCCTTCCTCCTCCTCCTCCTCCTCCTCCTCCTCCTCCTCCTCCTCCTTGTGGGGAGTGAGGGGCCCGAGCCCCCCCCAGGAGGCCCGGGGTCCCCCCCCCCTGCCGCTGCCGGGCCTGTGCGGGGCCGGGCGGCGGCGGGGCCTTGTGGCCGCGCTTTGTCTGCGCCGGGCCGGGCTGCGAGGCACCGGGCTCAGGGGGACGGGGGGGGGGTCATGGATGGAGGCGGGCGTGGGGCACACCTGCTGCGGAGCGACGCGCCCGGTAGCGGCCGGGTTTTAGTGGTTGTTGTCGCTTTTTGCTTTTTTTTAGCGGGCCTCTGGGTTTGGGCTTCCAGCCGAGCTAACGGCGATTTTCTGCCCGTCGTGGGTAGCGAGGGGTTGCTTGCAGTGCGTGGCTCCGGGTTATTGCTCCGAGTCACCAGGGAGGGGTGGTGGTGAACTGGGTGCTGCTGGTTCGCGCCTCGGTTGCAAATAGATTGGTTTTGGTGAGATCAATCTGGGGGAAATGTCCCGTTTTGAATTGCCGTCTCACAACGGGCTTCCTGCTCGTGTTCGGAAAGCTCTTTGGCTTTATTCCTGCAGCCGGGTTTGTGCTGGAGGAGTCCAAGTCCACAGGGACTCTCCAGGCTTATCCAAGAGGCTGGACAGCAGGGTTGGGCATTTGTGCCCTACTTACTGCAGGAGGAGCTGATAGAATCGTTATTTTCATTGTTCTGCTTGGGTAACTGTCCTCTGTAACCATTTTTACACGTATTTGGAAATTTTCTCCAAACTGTACTTGTCACGGTTCTGTTGGATGCGGTCATATGACCTCAAAAGGTGAGCATATTGATTTCCAACTAGCCTCTTGCTTTCGGGACTATTGAAGTTGCCAGTGGAGACAATAAAATGAAAGCGTACACCTCTAGTCCAGTGTCCAAAACTTAGAAAGCTTTGTGAGCTGGAGGATTTCCTAGACAAACAACAGTAGCAACATTACCCTCCCTTCTTAGGAGTCATCAGCCTACCGCTGTGACTGTGTCCTGTCCAGGAATTCAAGTAGAACTCACCTCCAGGGACCTGTTTCCAATGACTTGAATGCTTTTTTTTTTTTTTTTTTAAATGCATTCAGTAGGAGGATGGAATTTACCCTCTCCTGATTCCCAGTGGGGTTTATCTTTTTTTTTTTTTTTTTTTATTCTTTGTTCTCACCTGCAGGTTTCTGTTAACCTTGTCAGAAATGCTTTGTGGGCGCTTAGTTTGGTGAATGCCGACTGTTGCAGTAGTACAGCCCTCCTGACAGTTGGGCTGTTGGAACAGTTTGTGGCGTCAGTTGGCAAACTGCTTGGGAGCAGGGTTAAAAATAACCAGTACGAGTTGCTTATACTTGTGCTGATGGTGAAAAAGGTGTTTATTAAGCTGTTCCGACATTAACATGACTATTATTAGATACCTGCCATCTACCTTCAGAGCTCTGGGTTTCTCAGCTCAAAAGTAGCCAAAAGCTTAAAATAATTCTTTGTTTCTATACCCCATTCTAGGTGCCTTTTCTCGCTCTTTGATGATGTTGGTGTGGTTGGGTTGGTTTGCAATTTTTTGAGGACAGAGCAAGCTGGCTTTTTTTTTTAGATTGTAAGATTTCAGTGCAGGGTGTGTTTCTTTGTGCATGTTTATGTAGTTTTGAAAATAGTATGGCCTTGGTCCTAACTGGGGATGTATGGGTAATGCTTTGTTTAAGAACAGTGCTTGCTCCTTCCATGGGTGTACTTCTTACTCTGAAGTGGGAAGCCTCTCTTGTTTCACTGGAGAATGTGCTACTTTTCAAAGTCAAATGTCCTTGAGGTTGGCTTTTGGTTTTGTAATTTTTATGTTTGTTACCAGGCTTTACCTCTTTTTTTTTTTTCTTAGTGGCAATACGTCAGGAGTTATCCCTGGCATCTACATATAAAAGAGAGAACAAGCCTTTATAATTTCCTTGGTGAAACAGAATACTAAAAACTTTTACAAAGATGCCTTTTGGCTTTTCCTCTGTTGGGGTTGATTGTGTTATATTGGTGCAAGAGAACTTGAAATCGAAATTAACAAGTTTCTTGCTCTGGGGAAATGCTGAACAAAATGCACAATATAAAAAGAGCTGCATGTGTAGAAAAGTAAATGATTTTAATATTTGTTTTAGTCTGTTAGTGAATCAGCAATAACTGGCAAAACGTACTTTCAGAAATGAGATTTAGGCTGCCAAAATTCTAAGGTTCAAATGAGAGAACTTTGGGCAAAATTAATCAACACAAGTTGAGCTCAGTAAAATCAGCTTAGGAATTTGCAAATCCGGAACGGGGAAGAACCAGATGTTTGGTTTCTACTCAGTCCCTCGGTTCTGCAAGTGTAACTGCATAAATATGGAACAGTAACAGGCATGTATGTCATGCTGTTGCTTGGTATCAAAGCGTCTGTGTAAAAGCACAGGAACGTTATTTTCCCCGTTTTGCAGATAGGAAGCAGAGAGTAATTTAGCTTTGGGAAATAACAGAATGGGTCAGGGCTCCCCATGAGGTGTACAGTAGGGAAGGCTGGGAAGGAGGAGCGTCAAGGTGTCGCATAGGGCTGCTGTGTTCCGCCAGGGCATGCTACTGGAGGGAAATAAAGAAAGAATGAAGCTGTTACTTGCAATGAACATTGCTACATTTTTTGTGTAAACATGTTCTTTGGATGTTTTTCTTTGTTACAAGTATTACCATTTTTTTAATCGATTTTGTGTTGAAGTGGCTTCTATGAATTTCGGTTTCTTTGAGACTTCCTGAAGAGAAGTAGCAGCACATCTTTTCAGTAGAAGTTCTTCTTTGTTGTTAGTACAGCATGAGACATCAAAATGAACACCAAAGGCAGAGCTCATAGCAGGTTATGCTCGATGTTGGGCGGAAGCATCCAAGTCTAGAACCATTTTGTTTTGCACAACAGTTCCAAACAGTGCCTTGAAATAAGTTAGCATTGTATTTTTGTGCTAAAAGAGAATGGGCATATTGCATCTGAAACTTTGGGTGCTCAGGTTCTCAAAGAATATGGGTCGTATTTAGCAGCAGTAAATAAGGAGTCTTCTCAATACAAATGAGAAAAACTTAATAATGGATACTTGAAGTGTTCAGTATTTGATTGAAATGTTTAACAGAGAAGTGTGATCTAATTAGATCAAATGACATTATAGTAGAATAAAGACAGAATTCTTGATTTTTACACTGTACTCAGATACTGCTTCTATGACAAATTATGTCACTTTTTAGCTGAATGTTGTGAACCACAGTCTAGAATATTAGCTATGGCTCAAGTATAAGTATAAGGAGGAGCTCTTTATATTTATCTGTTGTCTTGAACTTTTAGAACATGGATGATAAAAATGGGGATTCATTATTGTAGCGTTGTGTAACTTTTCTCCCATTAAAATCTACACGTGTAAATTGTACTGCTAACTAAGATGCACCATAATTGCTGAAAACATCCTTCCAGACAACTCCGCAGCATTTTAACATTCTGGGGTTTTCTTCTATAAATTCCCCTTTGATGTTAGATCTTTTCCTTTTAAATCGTAATTTTCGTCTCAGTGGCTTTTTCTCTTGTCCTGAATGAGCAAGTGACTTTTCTCCCGGGATCTATTTAAGACGAGCTGTTGATACTTTGTGGGGATATTCTCAGACAGTATTATAGTTTCCTTAGCAGCTAGGAACTTTTCAAGGCTCTTGTACATGACGGCATTACTCTTTCACAATGTCAAGACTGAGTATGCCAGCAGAAACTTGGTGCAGTGAGGGAGAGGCAGCCCGCTGGAGGTGTCCTGTTCTCTTGCATGGCGTTAGTTCCCGGGTTCCAGTAAGTGAACTCGGCGAGAGCCAGGGTGGAAAACAAATGCCTCGCTCCGGATGCCGTGGGTTCCAGCTCTGTGCTCCGCGCCGGCCCTGCCTGCGTGCCATTCAGAATCTACAAATGTGCTATCTTTGGAGCCGGTGCCGTAAATTGCTAACCCAATCTGTAGTAGTCCATCAAAACCAGATGGAACGAGTCATTTGTAGCTTCATAGGATTCATATAATTTTGAATTAAAAAAAGAGAGACATCTGGGAATACTAATTAGTTACTGTTTGTTCTCTTCTCTGCTTGCTCTCCCCCTACACCTCCCCATGTTGCCTTTGGCTTGCCAGTTTTCTCTTGACATTTCTTCGTCTCTTTTCTGTGTTGTCACCTGCTTTTCCTTTTCTTATATTGGACAAGCCAGCAATTACAGAATAATTCTTTTAGCCGGGAGCCAGCTGCGCGGTAGAATAGGCAGCCGTCACAGCAGTTGATCAAGTACATTATGTACATCTGCACTGTAGTTTATTACTTCCCTAGTGACAGTCAGTTGTAGTCAAAGACGCACCTTGAGTGCGTTCTTGATGAGAAACTATGGCGTGATGTTTAGGAAGTCATAGTCAGATGTAAATATTGATAGTAACATTGTTAATTTTGTGTCTTGCAGATTTCTGATACGTAAGACCAAAATATTTGTAACACTGTAAATACGTCATGTGTTCTTGATGCGTAGTCTCCTGCTTCTGCCATGGCATTGACCATGTAGAGCATTTCATGTATCTGACTATTTTTCTTCAGTTCTGGTCTTTGCTTTCTGTTGGGATTCATTTGGGATGAAATATTGCTAAAATTTTAGATGAATGGATCAAAAGCAGTCTGAGATGTTATTGCCTCTGTCTCTTAGGCTATTCTCTGCTTAAATTAGTTCCCCTGGAAGACAGCTATGATTTTTATGTTCTTCTAGAAGGAAAAACTCCTTAATAAATTGCAGTATTTTGATATAAGTTGTTCTCTCTATACCAATGTTTTTGTTCTTTTTTTTTTTCCTCCTTCCCTTCCACAAATACCTCATCTGGGATTCATTTGCAGTGTCAGGTGTCTTGGCTTTGGTGTGCGTGCAGAACGGCTACCAGCCAGTCACGGGGTGGGCTGCGGGCAGTAGCCCAGCTCCCTGGCTCACTGCCCTGCTACCCTGGGCGCAGTGTTGGTGGGGACATCACCCTTAGTGTGCACAGGCAGGCTGAATGGTTCCTTAGCTTTGCTGGGTGTGCATGGGGTGGCCATCCTGTGCCTTCGTAGGAACTCACGCTGCTCCTCAGAATCGTGTGATTTTTGTCTAGTTCATGCTGTGGTGTTCTGGTCAGAGAGTTCAGCCACGAACACTGGGTTAAGATGGGGTACTCTGTGGTGGCAGGCTGTCCACAGCCTGCAGTTTGTGTAGCCTCCTAGTAGGTTTTTGACTTATTCGGCAGGCAGACTCATCCATTTCAACACAAATTATTATATTTTAGAATTATCTATTTCAAAAGTGAGAGAAATGTGTTTTCCTGAGGTGTCTGATGACATCCTCAAATGAGCTGAGGAACAGTTAACCTTTGGAACTATGGAAAAAGTCTGAGTAAATTTCACAGCATCCTGATATAGTTGGTAAGAGCTGTAACATATTTAGCCAGCAGGCTTAAAAATAATATATATACACACATATATATACACTTGATGTCTGTTAAGTCTGGCAACATGGCTTCAAACAAGTAGCCTCCTATTTTATAGCATACAGGATGTAGACACCGCCCCCCCTCCACACACGCAGTTAACTTAAATGAGTCAGAGTGTAGTCACTTCTGCTTCTTGTCTCATTTAAGGGACGGATGTATACAAGAGCAGTGTTAATAGGCAGCTTTCTACTGGAATGTTTAACTTTATCATTTTTGTTCTCAGGATGTGATCTTCATGGTGAGCTGGTGGGAGAACTGAGTTGTAAATCACCCCAATGGATGCGGACAGTGATGTTGCATTGGACATTTTAATCACAAATGTAGTGTGTGTTTTTAGAACAAGATGTCATTTAAACTTGAGGAAGATTGCATTAGAGGGAGCAAATGTCATATACAAGCGTGATGTTGGGGTAAGAGATTTAACATACCTCAATTATCTGTTTTTACATCTTGATATCCATGTGTGGTGGATAGCAAAGTTTTGTTTCTATATTTCTGTCCTGATAGGCATTGAGTCTGTCATACACTAAGCCTACAGTAAGGGGAGGAGGGCTAAATACTGTCTCAAAAGACTTCAGGGAGCTAACAGACTAGGGTCTGTTCAACTAGTGAGGTGAATATTAAGTGTAAGGTATGCAATGAGACCTCTTACACCTCAGGGTCTGTTTTGCCCTGCTAAAACTTCATGTTCTTTTTTAGAAAAATATATCAATAAGGAGTCAACAGGGGAGAGATAATAAAAAATCAGCATGATGCTGTGGCTTTCAGCTTTTTATTCAAGGGAAAATAATTTGTTATGTGAACACTGAATCACTGGTGACGATAGTTCACTTCTGTTTAGCTCTTCTCAGGAGCTGATTTTGTAGTTGCTGAAAGAGATGAAAGAACTTTTCAAGACTTATCAAAAGTAAAGAAATATTTGCATAATACTTGATTATTTTTTTTTCAATTTTGAAATAGAACTAACACCAATTCCCAATTCTTCCACTTTCATTTTCCTTTTTAGAAAGTATTAATGAAGCTTAGGAAACCTAGGATTACGGCCACAATTTGGTCCTCAGGAAAAGTTATTTGCACAGGAGCCACAAGGTAAGTCCATAGAGATCTTTTCTCTGGTTGAAATGCATGTGTATTTTAAAACATAATGTTATAAATGAGGAAGGTAGCAAGAGGCAGTGCTTGCCGCTCTTAAGATTCCTCCATGTTATATCACACTTAGATCCTTGCCAAGCGAAGTATTTGAGTGAAAATTCTCTGCAAATTGTCTGCCTTTGACTGAATTGAAATCTTGAGCAACATCATTTCAGCATTCTGGGAGAACAGCAGAAAAAAATAATTTATCAAGTAAATTCAAAGATTTATTTTCTGAAATAACGAGTACAGAATAGGGGCTGACCTGCTGGAGAGCAGCTCTGAGGAGGGGGACCTGGGAGTCCTGGTGGACAGCAGGTTAACCATGGGCCAGCAATGTGCTCTTGTGGCCAAGAAGGCCAATGGTATCCTGGGATGTGGTAGAAATATTGTTGTCAGAATTTTGAGGGAGGTGATCCTACCCCTCTATTCAGCCCTGGTGAGGCCTCACCTGGAGTACTGTGTCCAGTTCTGGGCTCCCCAGTACAAGAGGGACATGGAGTTATTGGCGTGAGTCCAGAGGAGGGCTACTGAGGTGATGAAGGGACTGGAGTATCTGTCATATGAGGACAGGCTGAGAGAGCTGGGCTGGAGAAGGAAAGGCTGAGAGGGGAATCTCATCAATGTCTATAAATACCTGAAGGGAGGGCGTCAAAAGGATGGGCCCAGATTTTTCAGTGATGCCTAGTGACAGGACAAGAGGCAACGGTCACAAACTGAGACACAGCTGAGTATGAGGAAACTTCTTTACTGGGAGCGTGACAGAGCACTGTCACAGGTTGCACAGAGAGGCTGTGGAGCTTCCTTCTCTGGAGATATTCAAAACCCACTTGGATGCCATCCTGTGCAATGTGGGCTAGGTGACCCTGCTTGGCAGGGGGATTGGACTAGATGGTCTCCAGAGTCCCTTCCAACCACAACCATTCTGTGGTTTGAAAACTCTCTAAGAATTATATTTATTTTTTTTAAGCCAGAATTGCAATTTGGGCAGGGATGACCTTTTTTGAGGGATGTCTCTCTTATTACTACATGAAAACTCACCTAAATTTAATCAAGTTAAACACTGTTGAGGGAATAGAAAGAGCAAATTCTTAGTTCATATACACGTGAATTTGCAAAATTGCTAATGGCTGAATTCCTGTAAGTTATGTCCACATTGTGGGGTAAGGGTAATGTACAGTGGTAAATTTGCATACTTTTTGTATATGATACCTGTCTCAAAATAGAAGGTGATTTGTCGGTGCTGGCATTTAAATGATAGATTTATTTTTTCTTCTGTGGCCCTGCACTGTACAGTGAGCTTTTTCCCTAAAGTTTTGTTTTGGTGCTTTATACTAGTATTAATATTCATAAACATCACTTTCTTCTCTAAACCTCCAGGGAACCTAACAAGCCCGCTGTAAAGGAGAACAGGATGAAAAGTAACCACAAGTTCAGGATGGCCAACTTCAAACTACCATATTTGTCTCTTAAGAGTATTTAATATCATATACAATCAAAATATGGTTCCCACTGCAGCTCCTACTGTCTTAAGCTAGAGCTGAGTGCCAAAGTATTCTTCAAATAGGGTATAAAAGACTCTCTTGGAATATCTAGACAGTGAAGATAGAATATAATAAGTACAGCTGCGTAAAATTAAGGCTGTCCATGTGGTCACAGTTCATGCATTACGTAGTACTCAGGCTACAGAATGAACCATTTACTATATAGTATGTGTGCGCATGAGCATATGTTGTATTTTTGTTAATGCTAGATTCTTGTCTTTGCAGTGAAGAAGAAGCTAAATTTGGTGCCAGACGATTAGCTCGTAGTCTACAGAAACTAGGTTTTCAGGTAATTCTAATGAAAAAGGACTTATGTTGCTTAAGCAATGATGGTACTCATTTTTTTCGAAATATTACAAAAGTGAGGAAGCATAACCATTTAGCAATCAACATGTTTTCATTCAGATGCCCCTTTTGTATCAGCATAAGTTTTCCAGATGCTAGTCAAAGAAATGTCTTATTTTGTGGATTTGGGTTTCATTTGATGGATCAGAATTGTGCTTTTTCCCTTCCTAATGAACAACAAAACTTACTAAAAGAGCCACCCACAAATGTTTCATGGCTAGAAAAATACCTTGAAAGATTTATTTGGAAGAAGTGCTGAAGGGTGTAAACCAAACTGTCATTTAAACACAATTTTCGCTCATTTATGGTGGAATAACAAACACATGTCTCTCTTGTTTAGGGCAAGTTTGAACCTTGTTAATTGAGGGGGTTGTGAGGGGGTTGTGCTGTGAGGTTGCACAGCTGGAAATAAGTTTAAAAAAAAAAAAGGGTATGAAACCCCTCTTTTGTTGGTTTGGGTCAACGTTACCAGTCAAAAACACCACTTGAACTTTTTAGTAACAGTTTTGATTGTGAGTACTAAAATGTGTAATTTTAAAACTTTCTGACAGTCAGTTGTGCTGTTTACCCACAATTTAAATTTACCAACAGACAATTACCAACAGGCACAGTTGCTGTCCTTTGGGAGGAAGAATCTAAATTTGATTATACTGCATAAAGGCAGCTGTGACAGGCTATCCCAGTAATGTTGCGTTAGACCCAAGCAAAAGTTAGGGAATTTTATTGCTAAGAATGTATACATTAGAACCAGGCTCTTAAAGTTGGAATGAAGCATTGAATCACTGAGAGATGAACAGTGCAGTGCCTCCAGGGTAGATGCACGGTTTTATTATGAAGTGAGCAGTTTAGGTGGAATATGCTTTGAGGATTAAAATAATAATTGACCTTTTATAAGGATTTGTTGCTTCCACTTGCATACTTTTTTAAAATGTTTTGGCTGAGAAACTTTCAGTTTTGGCTGTTCCAGAAAATGAACAAAATTTTCTTCAGTGAGTTTGCTAACACTGATTTCTTAACAGTGCATTTGTTTGTTTTGGAGTTGTCTGTTGACTATATTGTTGTCATGTAAAATGGCTGTGGTCTGAGAATAACTGAAAGCCAGTATTTTGAGGTAGGATTCAGAAAGCAAAAGACTGGAAAAATAGCTTGCCATACTGGACACTTGAAACAACAGTTTTTATCTTCTATCTTATTCTTAGCTTTGATAAAAATGGTGTATAGCACCAAGGCATTAAAGACACTTTTCCAAATTGCACAGGATTCATGTAAGAATTAAAGTTTTTCTCTGTTAATTTTGATGTCCCATGAACTACTTAATTGAGTTTGTTTTCAATTTGGTTGTGTTTTAGTATAACAATGGGTTATTCCTGTGTCTCATTTTTAAAGTAAATTGTACGATAAGCATATAGTACAAATGTGAAATAATCTATTTCAATGGGTACTGTACTGTGGAAGAATAAAATAAGTGACTTGAGTCTATTAAATACCTTTAGACTATTACAAATTCATTAGTCTCAAGATTTTAGTTGTGAAATAACCAGTAAAATACTCAACTAGTATTCTAAGTTTTTTTATTTTTTCCACCCATATATCTCTGCTTCTCTGAGCTGAATTCCTAATGACATTCTTTTCTTCTCTTTTGAAAAGGTAATTTTCACAGATTTTAAAGTTGTGAATGTTTTAGCAGTGTGCAACATGCCCTTTGAGATAAGATTGCCAGAATTTACGAAGAATAACAGACCTCATGCGAGGTATGGTAGATTTTTTTTTTTAAATGTAGTCTTGGTATATTTCTTAAGCTTTTCTGTTTCAGTTCCAGACCTCTTACCTGTTATTTTGTTTTCTAGTTACGAACCAGAACTTCATCCTGCCGTGTGCTACAGAATAAAAACTCTCAGAGCTACCTTACAGATTTTTTCAACAGGCAGTATCACAGTTACAGGTATTTTGATGTCATAAATAAATATTTAACTTGTTGAGAATATTTAACTTTAGGGCTAGTCAGTTTAGGAAAAGAAGATATTCAAAACGGTCAAAAGATATGCCAAAGGGATCTTGTTTCCCAGTGCTAGTACTTAGTTCCATTTTGAGTGAAATGGCCAGACAAGTTAGAGTTATTACTGGTAGACTTAAAAATTACTTTTAGTGGACATGGTCCGTTTTTTCCTTTTTTAAAAAAAAAAAAATAGAATTTGAGAATGCAGGTATTTAAATGTTTTACTTTTTACCCTTTTTTTGAATCTCTGTAATGATGTAGACTGCACTGCATGTACCATCAACAGCACTTTCATAAATGCATATTTCCAAGCTTGAGATCTGTGGAAACATGTGGGATGGCATAGTATTTTGTCGTAACTGAAGTTGACCAATATTTGCAATTCTTCAGACCTGTGCTCGCTTGTGTTAAAGCTCATCTGGGGGAGAACCACTACTTGGGTTATAGGAATTAGTGACTTTTCTCAAGTAATCAGAAACATGATAGTTTTGGGTCTTAGAGATGCTACTGCCGTTTTTTCTTCCTCCTTTCTCTAATTTTCATTTTCCATTCTTTGCTGTATTTACTTGTGCAGTGTCCACCACAGATGTGAAAAGTCAGATGTGAGGAATACCTGTTATAATAGTACAGAACCAGGAAATATCATTTGTTATCACTTCAGCTGGTCTTGTCATTGGTAGAGTTCAACTACACTGGTATTATATATCGATACACTGGTCACGTGTAGGGGTATTTATTTTTACATCTTTTATTTTAAAAAAAACAAATACCTAAGCTTTATGGGGAACACTTACCATAATATATCAGGATATTTTTTATTTTTTTTTTGAAGAAGACAAACTGTATTAGATTTAGTAATCTGAAAATTTAGGGCTAGACATCAAGGTGCTGGAGCGTCTCCAGGGAAGGGCAGCAAAGTTGTTGCGGGGTCTAGAAAACAAGTTTTATGGGGAGCGGCTGAAGAACTTTAGTTGTTTCTCCTAGAGAAAAGGAGGTTCAGGAGAGACCTTATCACACTGTATGAAGTGAAGCTATAGTGAGATGGGGATCGGCCTCTTGTCCCAAGCACCAAGTGATAAGACAAGGGGAAATAGCCTCAAATTGTGCTGGGGGGGGTTTAGGTTGCATATTAGTAGAAATTTCTTTACTGCAAGAGTTGTGAGGCGTTAGAATAGGCTGCCCAGGGAAGTGGTTGAGCCACCATCCCTGGAGGGCTTAAAGAAATGTGTAGATGTAGAACTTGCTAGCGTGGTTTAGTGGTGGATTTTAGTACTAGGCTAAAGGTTGGACTAGATGATTTTAGAATCATCCAGGTTGGAAAAGACCTCTATGATTTTATGACTGATAAAAGAACTGATAGTTAATAGGGAAAAAAGTTCTATTAATTTTTCTTCTTCCAAAATGAGCAGTGAGGAGGATTATTATTATTAGTTTTTATTTTATATTCCCTGCAATGACGTTCAGTGTTTACATATCTACAACACTACTCTTCAATGTTACTTGTTACAAGTTCTGTCTACTCATACTCCTGCTTTCTGAAGGCTTTCTCTTGAACTTGCATTTCTACCATAGTAGACAAATTGAAGGAAAGCAAAGAAATTGCCTACAAGGCAAAGGATATTCTAGGCAGAGTATCTTCCATCAGGCTTGTTTGCGTGAGTGATTAACTCAGCTAAGTTGGAAAATGCAAGAATAATCCTAATCCATTTTCATTCTGACTGAGCTCGTAAATTAATATGTCTAGAATTACATGCATAGATAAGACATAGGTTATTTATAAGTAGAGGGAGCCAAATGTGGAGCCATTTTGAACAGTTCTCTGTACTTGGAAGGAATCTTTGAAGTCCAAAGTGAGTTTAAAAAAAAATTCGTATCATCAAAGCACATGAGAAATTGTTGGCTTCATTTATCTACATCACCAAACTTGTATCCAGGATAGTTTCTTCTGGCATAGTATTGCTCATTCATTTGCAACCTCAGTTGTTCGTTGCAGGAAATGGTCTAGAACCATTAGAAAGCACTGCTAGCTCATTCTTCCTTTTCCCAAATGTTCATAAATTATGTTAGATAACCTTCAGCTGCCTCATTCTGAGACAATAACCATTCCCTGGCTTGCAGGTGCTGTCCTGAGATCAATGGCTGGAGGGAGCTATTTACAAAATCTAGACTGAAAAGTAATACTCTATAATTTTCAAATATAAAATTTGCTTGGAACATACTTAGGTTAAATCCAGCATTATTTAGCAATATTTTATGTGGTGGCTATTTAAAAGAGATAAATGTAGCCAGGTAGTACAGATTTGGGTAGTACAAATTCCTAGAAGAGAATAATAAGTAAAAATACTTCTTTTACCTCTGCCTCTTAGCTTCTGCAATCTTCTCTGGGCTGACTGTTTAAACTAGTAAATTTCGAAGTATGCAAATTGTTAGGAAATGATAGTATTTATTTGCAATGTAGGCATTAATCAGCGTAGAATATCTTGCAGATTCCATGCTAGAGTTTTTTTCTTGTAAGTTATAGTGGTAAGAGGAACACTTTCTTCAATTGGGAGAAATGGGGAGAAGTTATTCTTGTCTACAGAAAAAAGTTACAGCAGCCATAAATATTAAGGTTGTTTTGAAGATACTGTTGTTGTTTTAATTTCTGATGGCCTGATTTTTCTCTTCCTATTGTTTTTTTTGTTTTTGTTTTTTTTTTTGTTGTTTAATACTTCACAGGGCCAAACGTAAAGGCTGTTGCCAGTGCTGTGGAGCAGATTTACCCATTCGTGTTTGAGAGCAGGAAATAAATTTTATAATTCACCACTTGATGGTTAGGTTTCCTAACCAAGCACCTTTAAAAGACTGCTGCACATTGGACTAAAAGCAAAAAGGAAAACTGGACCAACTATAGCAGAGGAATACAGACTCTTTTACTTGTTCATGGCCACAGTATAAACTCCAGTCCTTTTGGATTTTACTCTTAACAGTGCTGTATTGTAAAAACAGAAGTTTACAAGATATGAAATTGCTGCTTTTAAAAAGACATTCTATTTATTTTTGCAGTAATTTCTGTGTATTCATAAGCAAAGCTGTCACGATGTGCACTACCTTTAAAACATTTTTTTTAGTTTGAGCTTGTGTTTTATTTGTGAATAGTCTTTTACATTTTTGTATGCTGAATATTGGGCACCAAAGAAGCTGTAAAAGTTATCTTTTTCACCTGATGAATGTGCACAAATAAAAGTTTGGAAAATATTTCTCTTCATACCTGTTCTGTTATATTCCTTTCCCTTTTTCTATTACATTAAAATTGTATAGTTGCAAATTAATTTGAAACGATGTAGGAATAGTCTTTTGCTGATTACCTTCTGTTTCTATTTGTAGTATGTGTAAAATTTTGTGTGTGGGTTAGATTGAAATCTATAGTAGTTACGTATGTTTATCCGAGGATGAAATTTGGTTTGTTCCCAGTTCTCTTAACTACGTGCCAGATTTCAAGTATTTTCTTGCTGTTTAAAGAAGACATTTCTAAATATAAAGGTCTACAACAACTATTTTCCTGTAGATGATGAGGAAATCTTACCAACTAAAGAAGCTACTGTAGAAAAATTAACTGCCTTGTCCACCTGCTGGATGCAAAAGGAAACATTACTATGTGAGCTTCGGTATTTGGGAAAGTGCTGTTACGCTTCAACTCCGGAAGATGGTATGGTCACGCTAATCCAGTCCCAGCCTCTTGCTGAATGATTAACGCAGGCCTTTTCTACACTCTCGTTACTGTATAATGTTTTCATGACAGGAGCTGCCGACAAGCAATGAAGCTTGATTCTGGCATGTATTATTATTGGTATTAATCTTGGACTTGAAAGCCAGTAGATGTTTCTCTCAGTAAGTGCACATTTGAAGCAGAAGAGAGGTGAATGCTTAAAAGTAACTGCAAATGCTACTTTTAAAAAGTTACAATAAATATATGTATAAATGTATGTATGTCTTTTTTCCCTGACTGAAGACAAATGTGACGCTATTGTGTGCTGTAAGTAACATACAGTCTTGGTGGGTACTGAAAACTGAACCGTGAGCTGTTTCTATTCTTGAAGTCACCAGTTGTGGAAGAAAAGTGGAAGAATATCCTGAAAAAGCAAATGCCTAGCATAATGTATACGAGCTGTCTGAGGGATGGTGTAGAAGTTGGGGCCATCTGCAGCATCTCCATGCAGAAATTATGGAAAGGAAGGAATAGTTTAGGAAATGCTCAATCAAACCCTTCAGAACAAAAGGAAAGAGCAACCTGCTGCAAGCAGTGATACATTAATAAAACCCTTTCTTAGATGTGTGAAGGTAGGAAAAGAGTACTTGTAACTAATAAATAAGTAGAGTCTGGCAGTCATTAAACTTATGATAAAGAGCACATAAAGGCACCATAGCACTCCTGACACTAATGAAGATTTTGTGAAACATCACACCACTGGGCAAATCCCCATTAAATGGACAAATCCCCATTAGGGAATGTTAATGTTGTATTATTACAGTTTGAGAAAAGAAGAAAGTATTTGAAAAATGAACAAAATTGTAATGGGTTTTCCAGTGATGAAGTGTAGTCCTAAACTGATGAGAATTTGGCCATTATAATTAGGTAAGGCTTACCATTATATTAGGTAAGGCTTCACTCTTCCTCTTTTGGATCAAATCACAAAATGTTTGAATGCTACCATTGACATTTTATGAAGCATGTGAATCTCCTAAATTTACATGAAGAAAGAGGAACATTTTGTTCTCTTAGTAGCACAATCATGGGGTGTTAAATCTCTCTCATTTAAAAAAGTAATAAACCAATGTATTAACATTCAAGAAGGCTGGTTAGCTCAGTTGGTCAGGGCATGGTGCTAATACTGCCACGGTTGTAGTTCAAACCCTGTGTGGCCCATGCATGATGTTCTAGTGCAGGTGCAGAATAATACTACACACATGCACAGACTGGGAGTGGCTGGGCAGCAGCTCAGCAGAAAGGGACCTGGGGGTATTGGTTGACAGCAGGTTCAACGTGAGGCAGCCAAATGGCATTTTGAGGTGCATTAAGCACAGGCAGCCGGTCAAAAGAGGTCATTATCCCGCTACATTCAGCAGTTGTGTGACCTCACATGGACTATAGCGAACAGTTCTGGGCTCCACAATATCAAAAAGGACATTCAGGCCCTTGAAAGCATTCAGGGGAGGGCAACAAAGCTGGTTATGGGGCTGGAAGGCATGTCCTGTGAGGAGAGCCTAAGGGCACTGGGTTTGTCCTCTCTATAGAAGAGAGGCCAGGAGGCGACCTCGTGGCTCTCTGCAGCTTCCCGAGGAGGGGAGGCACAGGGCGGGTGCTGGTCTCTGCTCCATGGTCACCGATGTGTGGGGACGGCACAGAGCTGTGCCAGGGGAGGGTCACACACATGTTCCTGAGGGAACATGTCTTTACCATGAGGTGGTCACACACTGGAACAGGCTTCCTAGGGAGGTGGTTGATGCCCCGTGACTGTCAGTGTTCAAGAGGCATTTGGAATTACGGCCTCGATAATATGCTTTAGCTTCTGGTTAGCCCTGAAGTGGTCAGGCAGTTGAACATGAAAGTCTTTTTAGGTGGTCTTCCAGCTGAACTACTCTATTCTGGACTGTTTCTTTTGAAGTGTTTCTTAGATCAATACTTACTTTAGTTCTGTTTGAGACCTTTGTAACAATCAATAAGGGAGCAAAAAAGCATACTACTGAACTTGCAGACAGGTAGTAGTGAGAAAAATAATAATATCAAATAAAAGATTCCTCAAAATGTATGTTCCTAGCTCCAAGGGATACTCAGACTATTTTTGACAAACACGCTTTAAAACCTCTGATGATGAGGTTGGTGGTGTATGCTTTGCACTTATACTCAGGGATGTGGCTGTATTCCCATCACTGCTGTAAAACAGTAGGTCCCAGGTTCAAGCTGCAATAAGCCTTGCTGCTGCTGGTTTCTGTACACACGCACCCCCAGTGCCTCTCCTCACACTCGGATTAAACATACCTGTCAATCAAACAGCTCTTCCTCACTGGCCTCGTTTTCCAGAGCTCTGCCCCATTTGCTCCTGGGTTCCCCACTTGGATCACACGCAGACCTCGGCACGGTGCTCAGCTGTGGCACCAGCAGTGCCATAAGAAGCTGATTTCACATTCCTTCGAGAGAACAGCCCGTTCTATTTATACAACCTACTGAGGACTCGTTTTTGCAGTAGAATGAGAACTGACTCATTGCTGGCTTGTGAGTTGTCATAGCCACTAGATCTTTTTTTCCTGCAGTTTCTAGGTCCCTTTTATCATCCTCTGACTTGCAATTAGGCAGCATAACCAGAGAAATTTGCATTTACCCTTCCAGAATTATATCCTGCTTTTTTTCAGACCCTTCTCAGTAATTTACTAAGCTCTGAATTCTAACTCAGTCTCTCTCCCTTTCATATTGCCTGCAAATTTAATAAGCATGTTCTGTTCTCTAATCCAGCCCGTTATTGAAGATAGTGATTAATTTTAGATCTGGGACAAATTTGGGGGTAATGCTTCAGAGATCCAGGGGTGTGATTTGTGAGATCTCTCTTTTTTCCCTTGTATTTTAAGAGCCAATGGGATTGTGACTGCTAGCTCTGTGCCATCAGATGGGCAGGCTCTGTTATAAAAGAGCAGTACAATTAGGGCCACGTTGTCCATAGAACTAAAATTAAGATTAAAGCCATAACGAATTAAAAAGCCCTTGCCTTCAGCATCATTGCCTTTTGGAGGTGCCTGAAGGTGTTAGGGTCTCTGCAGTTAAACCAGTCTTGGAACTATGCCTTCTTCAGAAAGATGAGATTTTTTTACTTATTTATTTCTGCACTAAGTAGTTGGGCATGGGGAAAGTTCAGAAAAGCTCGCTATGAACCCAAAGAGACAATTTCTGAGTTATTTTTGTGAGAACACTTACAGAATTTATTACAGCAGAGATTTATTTTGGGTGCTGTGGTGCTGAGCAGGATTTAACAGAAGCCCATTTCCCTCAGTGTGATGTAATAGAAATTATAAACCAGTATGGGCTTGGATTACATATGCAAAAGTACGCTATCTAGAGACAGCTGGCAGAAAACAGCACCAACCAGAGCAAATGAGGTGCTGTTGGACATGTTGGCAATCACGGTAAATCCACAGACCAGGAAATGAAAATTTCCTGCAATATGCAGTCACTAAAAATACATTTTATTCCTTGATTTGATCTCGGGCGCTTGTTAGTATGGGAATGATGTTGATAAATGAGCAGCTTATTTGAAAGACCTGCAGTCACCTGAAGGTTTCTTGTGAAGCTGATTTAGTGCTTGATACTGAAAAGCATCCACCAGCAGGTGGAGAGGTTTCGGTAGACAGCAGTGCTGAAGAACTGAGGAAGGTGCTAACACAGAGAACTCAGAAAATTGTGGGTCCATACGTTGTTTTTTGACAAGATGACTAAGTGTTTAGGGCCGATAGTGGAACTTGTAGAATTTATAAAAAGAAAATGTCGGTTGATCTAAGAAAAAAGCTTTACAGCATTAGCAGGCCCAACCTGCAGCTGCCCTTTGCTGGTGCTTGAGAACATCTTTAAGATCTTCTGTTTTTTTATTATTTTTTTTTGTGCTTACTAGGCTTCACACACATACATTTGGCACTGCATAGCACCAACAGCATATCCCATATTTTATTATTCTTTCTGTTTCAATAATTGAAATAGAATGCATTGGTTTGGTTGTGGTTTTTTGTTTTGTTTTGTTTTGTAGCAATAAGACATTGATATTTTTCAAAACTATTATTCACTTAGGCCTAAAAAAGAAATTCAGGTTGAATATCACATTGTGAGCTGATCCCCAAAGTGCGAGCATTCCAAAAACAATGACAAAAAAAAACTGTGTATGTTTTGTCTACTTTCTGATTCTTGAATTCATCACGCCTCCAAGACGTGTGAAAATTTCATGTTAAAAATAATAATCAGCCTTCCGTGCATAACGCATCTAAACTTAAAATTCTTCAGCTGCCCCATTCCCTCCACTGCCAGAGTCCATTTTTGACTTCACCTCCTCTTGCATTTCCAAAACCCTCCCATCTTCTGGGAGCTATGCCTTCCTCATCCATGGCTCCAAACCCAGCTCTCCCTGCACTGCTATAAGATTTTTCCATAAGGTCTGGAAAAAAGGTTCTCTGATGGGGTCTTCAGTCTGAGTCACCTGCAGCTCAGGTGCACAGCCTCACTGTTCAAGTGGCCTGCGTGTGCTTGGGCTCTCTTTGCTTCTTACAGTCAACAGGACTTACATGTACCCTTATCAGAAGATTTTACTTAATGTTTGATATGTTGTATATGCCCTGATCTGTATCTTGCTGAGCCTTACATGTATGTGCTATTGTACACATTCCTGAAAGCAGCCTGCTCTTGTGGCACCCATGAGGATGTTGTGAGGACTGGTAGCTCTTGGATCATGATAGAAAAAATAAGGCAGCCATAATCCAACCAGTCACTTAGCAATTAGGTGGAGGATCTTCTTCCAGTTTTCCTTGCTTTAGATGGCATGGGGCCTGCTTAGTTTAAAACCCTGCCTTGTGATGACCATTTGCCTGACCTTTATACCAAAAGTACTGAACGTTTGATACTGGTTCCCTAAAAGCTTATGATGTTGGAAAGTTGTGGCACAAATTCAGCCAGGAGGTAGCTAAAGGTGTTTGCCGTGCCAATGTTGCTAAATTTCCCATGATTTCTAGTAAATCTTGTCCTTGACTTCAATAGTTTCTTTCCAAATTTTGAACACATGCTCATTGTACAAATAAATGTGCTCCTCTAAATTTACAGTCAGTGTCTAGAAGGGTGACAATGTTAGGAGATAATCCAATCTGGCCAGTAGTAAAACTTTACCTAGATCAGTAAGTTCCTTTGGTGCAGGACTCAGTCAGGTGGTTTTAATGCTATGAGACAGCAAATAAAGTGGGATCATGTGCTCAGTCCAAAGTAGTATCCGCACTCCAGCTGACTGTGTCAGTCTTGATTCCTCAATTAAACACTGGAAGAAATGCTGCTGTGTGGCTACAGAGACAGCATGCTTTCAAAGTTTCTGCAGGTTCTTGGGCCATTCATTTATCTGCTAGTAAATATTTATATACTGGTCATTCTCCCACAATTTATTAACCTTTTAGGAAAAAAAAAACAAAAAACAAAAAACAAAACATACAAGTTATTGATGGTTGTGTAATTCAGGGTATATTTGCTGAGCAATAACCGAGAAATAAAGTGATGTAAGTTATGTTTCTCAGCAATGACAGTTTCAGAAATCCCTTTGCGCTGCTCTGAACCACACAATTCTCACTTTATGAACTGAAAGTCAAAGTCTAGTGTGCCCTGTGTTGATAAATAAAAAACTTTTGGCATCAACCCTGGCCTCTCCAGCTTCCAACTTTCCTGGGGCTGGAAGCCAAAGAAATCCCATCTCAGCTTCTGTAGGGCCACCCTCAACCTAGAATAGCTGATGATTCAAGTTCCCTCACATTTAAACAGTTTGACTGTTTGGTTTCTGAGGAGTGTTCCTGAGGTCACTAAGTCCTGGCCGTAAACATCCCAGGAAACTGTCAAATTCCTCTTATACACTACATTGTCACTGGGTTCTGATGATTAAGATTCTTTTTCAAGTCCTGCTAAGCTCAAGCCCAAATTCATTCATAAACTGTCCATCCCCAGTTGTTCTGCACTGCCATCACCCTTTACACTCCACATCTGTCCATTTCTGCTCCACGGTGTTGACTTCCTTCATGTATGCACAGAGCTGTTAACCTTTTTCAGCCCCTTTTTCTTTAGGCTAAACTGACCAGTCTTTGGCAGCACCCTCCTAAAAGACAGACAGGCTCTTCCTTCTCCGTGGCATCCCAGCAGCTCTTTGCACCTCTGAGCTCTTGCTGAGTACGGACAACAAGAATTGTGCACAACATTTTGGTTTCTGGTCACCTGCTGTGTGCCAGGGGCGAGGAGCCTCAGGGGAGGGATTCTGGTTCAAAACAGACAGAGCCCGACATTCTGCTGTGTTATAAACTACAACAATCTTTAATGTTGGCTGTAAACTGCCACCGACAGAAGCTTTACTAAGAAATGAAAGAGATTATCCTGCGTATAGCGAAGATACCATGTACCCCATCATAGTGTCAGCATTTATTATTATTTTTTTTTTGTCTGGGATCAGTCTTTTGTTGAGGGCCGCCCTGGCTGCCCCAGCCTAGTAGAACTGCTCTTTCTCTCCCTTGGCAAGTTCCACCGGCACCAGCTTCTCCCTGCGCTGGCCCACCCAGCACAGCGGGGTCTTCGCGTATTTCCTGGAGAAGAAAAGGAAAAATCGAGACAAATTACAAATTTCCACTTAGTGCAAGGGGCAGAGCGTTCGCCCACCGCCTCGGGCTCGGCTGTCGCTCAGGACAGCAGCCCTCCAAAGCCCACAAAACCCCACAACAAACCCACAACAAACCCCACATCAGCCGCGGCCCCCAGGCCCTGGCTCCGGGCCGCCCGCCCGCCAGGCGGCGCTGCCGCCCTCGCTCCGGCCTTGGGGCGCCGCCGCCGGGAGGCCCGGCCAGGAAAGGCCCCGGCTCCGGGCCTGCTCCAGGGAGGCGGCCCTGGGGTATGGGGGGGGTCCCTGAGGAGCCGGGCTGGCCCCATCGCCAATGTTTTTAACTTGTAGTTTTCTTTAGCTTTTTATGCTGGAGACTTCTGAGGCTAGTCCAAAAAAGCAGGGCATATAGGAGAGTGCTGCGTTTTAAACAGCAGGGCTGCGCAGTCTCATCTTTCTCTATATATTTTTAAAGGCTAAAAGCAACTGAAAAGGATGGGGGCAGCACCACACAGATAATAAAAATTGCTGGTTAATTTGGGGTTGATGACACCTGCATTTGGAGGTGGTGAATGCTGCTGCTGTTGAACATAAACGAGTGGAGTCAAGTCACACGAAAATAGCCAGACTGGGTTGTGCGGAGTGGCACCCGGCACCCATCGCCACCACCCTCTCACTGCTGGTACCCTTTCCATTTGGAGAGGTGGGGACACAAAACACGCTGGAAGGACTCTTACTGTCCAGAGCCACAGGGCTCAGCGAACACACAAAAAGCTCCCCATCTAAAACAGCTGTCAAAGCTCACATGGAGTCTTGAAGTACTGGACATAGGGTCTCTCTCCTTCCCTTTTCCTGCCCACAAGCTGAGACACAGCCCAAAGAGGAGAGCAGCATCCCCTTCCCTCTAGGAATGCCAGTCAGCAAACGTGCTGTGGAGTCAAGCACTCAGTAGTGATGCTGGACACCACCATCACTTTGGGGCTGGTCCTTCAGTAACAGTAAAATGTTTGGCCACAGAGATCAGCGTGTGTAAGCTTGAGCCTTGGGAGAGCGTGATTTTACCCAAAATACCAACTTGTTTTCCTGTTAGTGCACAGCACTGAGAGGCTTTGTCTCCCTGACACCACAGGGACACAGACATGCTTGGTACTTACTCTTTAGCCAGTTCCATGGATATTTGCTCCAAAGAGCATCCTTTCGTCTCTGGTATAAACACAATAACAAAAGCCAGGGATGCTAGGCTCATTACTGTGTAGATGAAACACACCCAGGACAAGCCAATAAGCTCTATAAAGGAAGAAAAAAAATATTTAATTTTCAATTTTTTTTTTCCTGCTGCCATAATTGTTTAGGACACAGCCCCTAAATCACAGGGGAAGTTAGAAAGAAGTTAGGCCCTCTTTTGTCCCTTTTATTTGTGCCTGAGTATAATTTGAAAAGAAAAATTCTTTTGCTTTTTCTAATAGTCCTTATGAAAGAAAACTGAGGAGCCCACACTGACCCATTTAGCATAAGCCCATTGATTTATTTTGTTTGCTGTCACTTTGGATGAAAACTGAGCAGCCATTGTTGCTGTTTCATGTGAGGGCACCAGGGGTCACAAGCGCCTTGAAATTCCACCCGTGTCTGGTTTTGTTCTTTCATGGAGCAAAAAGGGCATTTTTTCACACTGCAGCAGTTGTCTCCAGTTAATCCTCCCGGCCTGTCAGTTCCCAGGATTTCCACTGCAAGCAGTGGGTTCTGCATCAGAAAGTGGCCGAAGACTTAACACCTAATGGGGCCAGCCAAGGACTCGTGGGTTTTTGGGTCTATGGGGGCAGACAGGTCCTCAGCCTGACGGGATGGACTCGGCTGCCACTGTCATGTACTTGGACAGTCCAGTGTGTGTAGGCTGCTGCAGCTCCCTTAGTTTTCTCCCCTGCTAAAACTAAGCCAGAAAATTGAGACATTCGCCAGTTGTGCCATGCGCTAAAAAATGCAGCTGAAGCTGCTCTTCTAGTCAGTGTCTTCCACATCTTGTACCTGCTGACGACAATAACTACCACCTAAATTTGCTTGAAGACAGAATTTCCAATTCTGCCTTTCTGCTACAGACTAGGAACTTATATTAGCTTGAAGTTACACTTTCATAAATCCAGATTAGATCCAGCTAAGCCAGTGGAGTTACTGTGGATTTGCATTCATTGTAACTGAGACCAGAGTAACAGCTAGGTGTACATTAACAAGCAATGCTGCATGACAGGAGGGGACCTTCAGGTCAAACAGCTGATGCTAAGGACACCAGGTGTGCACTGTCTTTTTTCTGGGGATGTTTCCTTAGCTCTGGTCTGTCCCAAGGACTGAACAAGTGTTGGCAACTGGAGAGCATTCACGGTTCATTTTCCAGCTTGTTTTTTTACAAAAGCAGTTCAGGGCTACTCTGTGATGCAAACCAAAGTGTGGTGAGTGGGGACAGCTGGAAGATTTGCTTCTGAGGGGGACCCTGGATCTAGCTAAATTACTAGAGTGGACACAGTGAATTTGACCTGGCATATTTTGTCCTAATTTTTATCAAGAAATAAATTATCTTTCTCCCCAAAAATGCCAATATGAAGCCTATTTTAGTCATAGATCACAGTATTAAATAACCCATCTCAAAGTATGTATACCAGAGTGAAATCACCTGAACTCTTTGTGGGTCTGATAACAATTGCTTGTCTGCCTCTGCCTCTGTTGCTGAGTAACACAGAGCTAAAGAAACCCTGGAAATTCAGTGCCCTTATCTATTTTGACATTCATCACATTTTCTTCAGAGTTACATTGAAAACCGAAATTTGCAAAACTAGAAAACACTATTTGCCAATCAATGAATTTCAAAGCTGGCATTTAACCTTTTTCCCTGTTTATCTTTAGTTTATAAATTATTCCATGGTAGTCTGCTTTCTCAAATTAAAACACAAAACATTTTTACCTTCCAGAAACATCTTTTTCTGAATGAAAATTTCTTGAAGAAAGGACAATCCTCCAAAATTGATTGATTGCTATGGGATAGTCTTTTTTTCCCCCGGGGGGGGGGGGGGGGGGGGGGGGCGGGGGGGGAAACAAAACTCTGATCCAAAAAGCTGTGATGGATCTGAACCGACAGAACTTCCACTGACTTCAGAAGGAACAGGACTAAATCCTAAATATTGTGTATTTTCAACTTAGTAATGAAATGTTGTTTTTAAATGTTGGGGTTCCCAGCCCACAGGGCTGATCCTCCAGGTGCTCTGACAGCATTAGTCCCTGTCATGATCCCTTCCTCTCCCTGCACCCTTAGAAGCCCTGGCACAGATGCATGGCAAGCACACAAGGTATAAGGAAGCCAAGCAGTCCAGAGGTGCTTGCCAGCCTAGCCACACACACCACAGGGGGGTGAAGGGGAGAAGGGGCTTCCACTAATCACGAGTGCATTGCTGTAGGGTCCATGGGAGAGGCAGAATTGGTAGCGCAGACTCGGTAAGATGTGGAGGAGGCAGTGAAGTGATACCAACAAATGGCACCTGAGCGGGTCTCTGCATTTAGCCCCTGGGACACCATGGCTGCAATTTTAGCAGTGCTGTTTGCATAGGAGAGATTTGTCACGGACATGAAGAGAATGTCAGCTCAGGAGGACACAGAGAAATCTTACCAGTGACGGTCAAAAACGTCAAGGAGATGAGGAGGTTTATTCCCCAGTTCATGCTGGATGTCAAAGCCATGGCCCGTCCTCTGATCCCGCCAGGGAAAATTTCACTCAGGACCAGCCAAGACACTGAAATGGAAGAAAAAGTATAAAATATCTTGAAAAGGATGGCTTTCCTTGCTGTACATTCATGTGGGTTCAGATGGAGCTGCCTGGCAGGATAAGGCGGTTTTGGGGAGGTGTGAGTGGGCCCAGCCCCCTGAGGCCCACCCTGAGCAGTGCCAGCACCAGGACATCGATCGTCCCCTTCCAGCATGGACCTAACCAGGGAAATGTGAAAGGCCTGGGGGAGGTGAGCCTTGACAGCACGTCTGCAGATGAAAGGGAGTGCCAGCTGAATAGCTCTCCAGTAACATAATGCTGATGGGGCTGGGGCAGCAAACCAAAGTACTCCTGGGCCTCTGAGCAGTGCTGGCTGTTTATGCCACCTTATAAATCAACCCACCGTGCCAAGGCACGTCTGCTGTTCCAGCTCTCTGCTACATATTAATGGGATCACTGAGGGATAAATGAAGACAGAGGTCCTGAGTTTTGGCTCCTTCATGTCACACCACACCACAGGTGACCTCAGTGCTGGTGTTTCTAGTCCACAAAAGCAAATTTGGTCACGTAGAGCTGGCTGGGTAGCTACCTCGATAACAAGAGCAAGAAAAAAAAAAAAGCCCCCACATTTCTACGCTATTCCTGGTTATTAGGACAAAGAAACCAACTAACACATCTCCTCTAATTCATAAACACAATTAATTAGCAAGAAGTTGCTCTGTGGAGAGGTTGTGGGCTAGCAGACAACCAGCACATTAGCAAAGAAGTGCATGTGGATGAACTGCATCTTCAGGCCCTTGGGCATTATAGATTGGTCCTGTGTGATACTGTTTCAGCAAGATAAGTGTTCCTGCAAGATAACAGATGGGAGGTTCCTCAGGACACATGCACTGGGCAGTGAAGTTACACTGTAAAACTGGACCCTGTATGGCCATCTGTCATGTTGCATTATCCCTTCGGGGGCACATAGGGTTCCTGTGTGACTGTACTGGTGAGGGTAAGAAAGAAGCTGACCCAGGGTAAGAAAGAGCTGACCCAGGGTTTTTGTTTCTTTGTTTCTTTCTTTTTTGTTTTTGTTTCCTCATTATAATGAGGTTCCCACCCACACTGGGAGACCTGGCAATGTGGTGATGTTAGTCCATAAGCAGGAGTGAGAATCAAGACCACAGTGCGTGCCAGCTTGATGCTGTTGCACATGGCCCAGTGGCACGCAGTCATCACACACAAATAGCTGTAGAGAGGTCTCTTTTTATCTGACTTGGATCACAGCAAATTTAATACACTTGCTGCTAACAAGGCAGACTTTCCACTAAATAAATGCTTTAGGCATATTCTGTGTTGTCTCTACACAGGATGGAAAAAAGAAAGTAAAAGAAAAAGAAAAGAAGTAAAACTGGCTTCAGAAGGAGGTATTCTTCTAGTCCTGTTCCTGGGGATGGCATGTGGCTGAAATATATGACGCTGCACCATCTCCAATACCACACACTTTTGCAAGGACAGACTGTCCCTTTCAGGATAAATCTGATTTGTCTAGGGGGTTGAAACACAGTGTTTTCCTGTTAACAAACCCAAATACTTGAGCATCTGCATCAGCCACAGTAGTGTTTAGCTGCTATTATTTCAACCAGCTATGTAGTCCAGACAGACCTCGCCAACGTACCAGGTCTGTTCTTCATGTCTGCTAATGGTATCTGCTTCCTCTGGCATGCCCCTGACCTCTGCTTGCCTGGCTAAGAGTGGAAAGGATTTTTCCCCTCAAAGAAATAGCAGTTGTAGAAATCTGACACTTATTACATTATGTTTATCCCTTTTCCCAAGCTGAGGCAGCGATAACGATCGATTCTTTGCTTTTAGCACCTCTCTGGGATTGTTTTTATTATCTGTACCATTGCCAAAAAGCAGCAGCTGCTGTAGGTACAGAAGGGATGTGGCTTTCTCTTGGGAAGCCAGGAACTAGGCTCAGGCTCCCATTCACAATGACTGCTGCTACCCGGTGCACGCAGTCCTGCGGAAATTTAACCTGCATGCTCCCAAAGTCACTGCAAGGAGAACTAGGTGCTCCGCCTCCACCAACCTAAGCAGCTACATTTTACAGAGGAAATCAGCCCAACCTTGAAAACAGGGTCCAAATAATGTCCTGCCACCACTGCAACCGCCTCTCTGTCTGCTGTGTAATCTAATATTATTGCAGAAGGACTGCAGGAGCAGCCACACTGCACACACGCGATAGTTTACGGTGTCTGCTTTGGCAGCCCTTGGCTGCTGTTCATGGAATGGGTGGGGGAAGAGCTGGTGCCTTCCAGTTCAAGTGGGGGTAAGAAATGAGGCTAAGGGCTCAACATGAGACCCTGTGCTAATTTCAACACCCACGGGATCTGTTCGGGCAGTGGCTGCAGGTAGCACTCACCCTTACTGATGTGTAGGGAATTGTATGTTGACAGCAGTTAAGAGAAATTGTACAGCTGAACCGTCTTTTATTATGGCAAAATCTGGAGAAGAAAAGCCACCCACTGCATACACAGATGTAGTTAATTCAAAGAAAATTTTGCTCTGGATCAGAAAGTGGTCAACTGTTTGAGGAAGTATTACAGAAACTCGATGCACTGAAATACCTTGTCCAGATAAGGAAGAACAGAGGATTCAGGTATACCAACAAACACTTGGCCAGGAGAGTGACATTCACCTCTAAACAAAGTTAAGGGGACACTAAAGGAATAAGGAGCAGAAGTAGTTCAAGATGTAACTCTCTCAAAGATGCTCTGTAATATTTCTCTCCAGTACTTAAGGGGGGCTTACAGGAAAGCTGGGGAGGGACTCTGTTTCAGGGAATATAGTGATAGGACAACGAGCAATGGCTTTAAACTAAAAGAGGATAGATTTAGATTAGATATGAAGAAGAAATTCTTTACTCTGAGGGTGGTGAGTCACTGGCACAGGCTGCCCAGAGAAGCTGTGGATGCCCTGTCCCTGGAGGTGTCCAAGGCCAGGCTGGATGGGGCTTTGGGCAACCTGGTCTGGTGGGAGGTGTCCCTGGAACTAGATAGTCTTTAAGGTCCCTTCCAGCCCAAGCCATTCTGTGATTCTATAATTCTATGAATATTGACTATACCATTTCAAATCCAGTACTGTTGTAGGAATGGAAGATCAAAGACCCTACCATAATATTTTGTTTCAAAAATGGAACGGTACTAGAATCAGCATGATCTCTGTAAGTAAATTACCAGGACAGTCAGGGTAACTGCTGTAGTGACAGTATGGAGAATGCTTAAGTTACCTGATTAGAAGCTTAATAGATATATACAACCAAATAAAAGAAATAGCACAGCACAGTTAAAAAATTGAGTGAATCAGCAACTGAGTGATTCATTGCATTTAACAAGACACAAACCAAGAGAAGCTAAGTGGTTTGAGCAGGGACATTTGTTAGATGGGAGGATGTACTTCAGACAATGAGTATTTCAACTCTAGAGCTCACCTTCACAGGATGCTTCAGATGTGAAAAGCAGTAATGAGATAAAATGATGAAAAGTTGGATGTTAAAACATTATTTCTCTGTATGTGTGGAAAAGGATCCATCAAGGACTATTAAACAACAGTAGGAAAAAATCTCAACATTTTTCTTGAAGTCCGTTAACTAGCCAGAAGGACACGTTGTGCATGCAACATGTGCTTTCCCTCATGTATTTTCTCTCAACATCTGCTACTGGCTACTGTTGGAGACAGGATAACAGATTGGGTGGCCTTTTTCTTTGAGCCAAAATGGGCAATTTAATGAGCTTTAGGGTCTTAAGGAAAGAGGTACCTCAAACCCTTATGTGATCTCTTCTTTATTCTATCTATGCAGTAAATAAAATAATAATAATAATAATAACAACAACAACAACAATAAAAATAATAAATCACAGACATATCACAGAAGCAGAAACATCTGAGAACATCTGAGAAATACTGTGAGCTTGAGGGTACTCAACATTCAAGTAAGGTACATGAATGAAAAATGTCCTTGTTTTGACCTCATTCCTGCCAGGAGGCAGAAGCAAATTGGAAGCTGCTCAGCAGCTCTCATTAATGAAATATTAGATTCTCTTGCTATTCATTTGCTGCTTAGCATTTTTTTCCTTTCCTGTACCTGTATTGTGTGAGAGCAAGTTCCTTGTGGTGAGATTTAGAAGCAGCTGTTAGAATAGTTGAAAGAATTCAAGTTGCTGAGGTACAAACTCTGGGAAGAGATTAAGTGGGTTTATGGCTTAGGAAAGAAGTAGGTAAAAGTACATAGTACGTAAGTCTTTGAAAGGAGAGGACTGGGTTGTTAGCAACAAGAGGTCCAAGGGAAGACGAGGAAGGGATTATCCCACTAGCAATGCAGGCAGACCCTCTAAGAACACAAATTAATAGACCTGAGAAAGGATGCAAGCAAGCAACTGCAAAGCTGCCACAAGAAGAAGGAATGCAAAGGACGTGGCTTCACCGAGGCCACGTTTTTTTTTCCAGGCTTATCGCACACACACACCGGATTTTTCAAGTACCTGGTTTCTGGACTGAAATTCTGCCCACAGTTTTTTTGCCAGAGGCCAAAGCAAACAATCCCAACCGGCCTTAAAAATCAATGCCTCCATTTAATAAAAGCCATTTGTCTCTCTGGCACTGCCAGAGAGATGTGAGAGTGAAGTGGCTGCTCAAAGTTAGTAACTGATGGATATGGAGAGAATGCAAGCCTGCATTACTTTGGAGAGCAGGTGAGTGGCCAGCAGAGGGTTTGCTTGCTTGCAGAGGGTTAAGTCAGATCTCAGGTCGTGTGTGTGCACATGAAAAGGAGCTGAAGGCTTCTACTGCTGAGAGATAGGGGACTCGGCAGAAGCCTCAGCTGACCTCATGCCTCTGGCTCTATCTGACAAGAAGTACCTCACCCTATGGCTTTTGAGGTGCTTGAAAGTTTGATTATTGCTCCTCTCTGAGCAGCTTTACAACTCTGGTTGCAATATGCCTGACACAACGGATGATCCAAAAGGAGCTGATGTGGTGTGGCA